GAAAGAGTATTGAAATTTCCTCTGGTTCTTCAGGAGCTTGCTCGTCTGGATTGAACAAACTTGTAAGTCTAGGAAATAATACCCTTATGCCAGACAGATTTTTAAAATCTTTTTTTAAATATTTTTCGTTAAAAGAAATGTAAGACAAAATGCTATTGAGTATTTAGGAATCCTGGATCTGTTGATATTACAAAGTTCTAATCGAATTCAAAGCTTCCATGTGTGCCGCAGATTTTACAAGGAGTTGACTTCCCGTCGCGCATAACGTTGAGTAGATATGTGCCACTATCAAAATGGGCTCGCCTGTCCTCCCTCCTTTCCCTGACCATAAAGAACTGCCATTTGCCTTGCATTGCATCTACTAATCTTCCAACAGCAAAATAATAAGTATCAGCAAGTTGACTGAGTAGGAAAGGTATGGGTTTTTTTTTTGGGGGGGGGGGGAGGAGAGAAGGGTTGGAGAGTTGGTCTTCTGGTGGATCAGCAGCAGGTTGCTCCTCTGAACCACTCTGAACTCTCAACTCGCTTGTGAACTCTACAGGTTTTGGATTGTGTGGAAGTGAGGGTTAAATCTGAATGAAAGTAAATATGTGTGTTTGTTAAATATGTAGGTTTTTATGTGGAACTGAAGAATTCTTAAAATTTAGTTGGGGAAGGTAAATGAGTATATAAATGAGTGATTCCTTGGGAAAGGAAATCCAGGATGGAAGCCTCCAGGTAATGAGGGTGGTTTGAGTGCACGCAAACGTTCAGAAAGCCCTTGTATTAGGGTATTAAGTTTGTCCCTTTTATTACATGCACAGGCTTGGCATAATGTTATCAACTGTGTTGCATCAAAAATCCTCTCTTGAGTTGATAGCTTTCAATGTCACTGTAGTGATTTCCAATAACCTTCTTGGAACTGAAAATATTCTGGAGCCACATTATCTTAACTGCCTTTCCAGCTGTGTATGTCTAAAATAGTTGCCTTTATGCCTTTCTTACTGTTATTTATTGATGGGGTTGTCATTTAAAGATTAAATTGGAGTTTGTTCAGCCAGAACAGTAGTGAACACGTTCGCTGTCGACAGGTCAGCTCAGCGTCTTTAACCTTGCATAGCAGACTGCTGGAATTCATTGAGCTCATTAACAGCGCTGTGCTGCCTTGACTGGCACTGTGGAGATATTGGATTATGTCATTTCTTGTCTAAAATTTCCTATGGAATTAAGTGTATGAAGCAACTGTTTCCTTTAGAGAACAGTGAGGGCTTGCCTTTGATTCTTCAAATTCTTGATTTGTAGGGGGATCTTTTGCTTTTCATGGGGGTGTCTGGCTTTAATATTTAAAGATTCAAAACAGAGAATGGGAACTTAGGAGATGTCAGAACTGTCCTTTCTGGGGATTCTGGTCCAATTGTCCATACAGAATGTTAAAAAGGATGAAGTTTGTGTAGCTAACAGTACCTTAAGACCAACAAAAAGTCTCATTAAAAAATTATCTAAGCAAAATTTTTGAAATGTCTGGCTTATCTGGATGCTATCTCTGTTCTCATATTCTAGCTTGATTGAGCAGCTTGAATTAAAAGTTAGTGAACTGTTTGCTGTTTACTTAAGGACTTAGGTCATTTTGGACTTAGTGTGTTAAAGGGGAGGATTGAAGAACTTTGGTTTACATTGTTGTGTTTCATTCTGTATGATCTTGCACAGAGTAGGTCGTCAGTAACTGCTCCATCCTTGAGAAGCACCAGGAAGGAATCTGGTAAGTGTACACGCGCACACTTAGATTTTTATAAGAAACTTTGCAGCTTTATTTTTTCTTCTGAGTATCCCTTTTTATAGGGAGAAATAACAGTACAAGTAACTGTTTATTGCTAGCAACTGTTTTCTTACAGATTTTGTGTTTGCACTTGTAAGCGCTCGGACTTCTACTCAACCTACGTTTGAAGTGTAAATTGTATTGGCTTGAAACTTGCACTACAGGATTGAGACCTTTATGTGCAAGTTTAGCCGTAGATGAGTTTTTCACGTTTGGTAAAACGTGAAGGAGCCAGACTCAAGAAGGTTGATAAATGAAATATGTCAGTGAGATGCTGTCATAATCAAGCTTATGTCACAATTATTAAGGATTAATCACTGTTAATTAACTAGACATTTTCTCTCTCAGCACTCTCTCAGACATCTAACCACTTCATTGATGAGCTGCCTCCACCAGTCCAAGAGCTGCTGGATGAAATTGGTAAGAGGTACTTTACCCAAAATGGAGTGAGGCTTGCCAGCTGTGTTTTAAAGCCAAAGGCTCTACTTCAGTACGCAATCAGGATTTCTCCCAAATCATTCGCTACTGAAATGCACAAGAGCTTCCAGTGTAGTTGGAAGTCAGGTCAATGATTAGGAAGTTAGACATCGACAGCTTAAGTAACCGGCTTCAGGCTCCCCATAATCAGCTAATTCTTGACTTTCCTGCATTTCACACAACAGTTAGTTGCTTTTGATGACAGCAGCTAGGCTATCGAGTGTAGATGTAATTTAACACTGAGGATGAATTTTTTTGTGTAGACTGAAGGTTTCAAAGGTGTTGGATACGCATGTTCTCCATTAAAACAAACGCAGGCTGGGCAGCTGTGTTACTCAGGTATTTTTGCAGAGCTTAGTTTCAATGATGTATGTTTCTTTTTGTAATCGCAGAGATCTTCAGGCAGAACACAGTGCAAAGCTCATTATTTTTACTAGTGTATGTTACAGAAAAAGTAACCTTGGTTATTCAGCTAAAACTCATCCTAAACAAATACCATGCTTTTGGATAATTGAATGTATACAGGTCTTCTGCTGGTTTTGAAATGAGGCGCACAGGCATGTTCTAATCTCTTTATTTCCTCATTCACCAAAACAAGAACACATGGAGACTGGCATCAAGTGAATAAGTTGTGGTCAGGGTCAGTTTGTAAGATTAACGTATGAACTAACTATATATTATATAGAGGTTTTCCTCTAGGTTAGCATGGATAAAGAAAGAGGGTACCTTAAATGGTATAGAGTCAATTTAGAAAGACTATCTAGATCAGTAAGGAAATATGCTGTTTTTAACAGAATGTTTAAAGCAGCAAGATTCCACCACTCAAGACCTCAAAGAGGAGGCGCTGTATGACTGTGGCATGCCAATAGAAGGTTAGTTGACAATAATCCTGACCGAGATTATAGAATACTAGTAGCTATATGCTCAGCTGTATGACAAGCTTTACTTGTTTTTTTTTTTTTATTTGTGGTTATCTTAGCAAATTTCACAGAAAGTTGAGAGGGTTCTGCCTTTCTTAATATGATCATATGCAATGTTTTCTTGAAACAGTTTCTTCTTAAACAGCAGCAAAAAGTCTTAGTGTTTGCTGTTTTCTGTGCGTTCTCTTCTCTAAAGTCTACAAGGATCTGGTGTGGAAGATTTGCAGGTCTGAGCTATCTGAATTAAACTTCTGCTTTTATTTTGCTTCTGTAATGTATGTTGTGTCTGAATGTAAGTGATGAAACCCATAAAAATATAGATGGTGAGCAGCTGATGTAAAAAGGAGCGAATGTTTCCACTTTTGAGAGGGTGGCTCAGTCAAAGTGGCCAGTGCGCCCTAACTGCTTATTTCTTATTCACCCGAATGAAGTAACGCCTCTGATCTCCTAGCATCAGAAAATTGTAGCCACTGAGGTCATCAATATGATGTTTCCTGTTTTGTTAGAAAGACATCAAAGCAGTGAAGCTTTGTGCCTTTGAAACTCCAAATAGTAATAGGTGGGCAATCATTTTTAGATGTACAGCAAGTAATATTAGAAGGGCAGAAAACCTAAATCTTTATATAGACTCTGCCCTGCATTTGTTTCCAATGAGTCAGAAACTGAAGTGGAAGAGCAGTTTAAAAAAAATAAGTTAGTTTGTACAAAAGCTAAATAGAATAGTCACTTGAGAATGATACTGGTGCTTGTTTGTGTTATCCTACAGCTTTGTTAGATCTTTTCCATTTAACAATCGTTACCCAAAGGATAGGAGCTACTGTGACTTTATTCATAGGAGTATCTTGTTTTTAGGCGGTAAGGAATGTAGCAGCCTGTATTGCTTGCTGTTCAATCACTGTGGTTTTGTTGTATTTGCATAAAGTACAGCTATTTCAGACTCCATTTTTGTGACAGCCTACTGCTTCCTGCTTATCATAGCTTAGCAGAAGGTAGCTGAATATATTCACATGCTGTAGGGAGCAGAAACAGAGATAAGTCGGGGCAGGGGGAGGGGGAATATCACTGGATTTTGCTAAGTAGGGTAACAAAGCTAACATCCACAGGTTTTCTTTTGATTTTTCTCTCGTAGCTAAGGGGCGAGATAAAAGGTTAATTTCCACATGCATTTTCCATTTTTAGTATGAAGCAAAATGCTCGCTCTCGTGAACCTAAAAATGTGGTACAGTAAAATACTTACCTAGGTCTTGCTATTGACCACTTCTATTTGTAGATAATGGGAATTGCCTTTCTTGGTAGAAAATTGGATGACTGAGGAAAGAATAACTGAGAAAAGGACAACTGACAGTTTCTCAAGTGTAGTAAATAACACATTTTAATTTCTTTATTATCTTCCTTTGTACCTTTGATATTAATATTAAAACCTTTCTCTTTACGTGTCTAGTTTCTGATCCATTTAAAATAGAGGACAGAGAGGCAAAAAAGGAAACGGAGAGAAATGAGAAGAGAGGTAATAGCTTATGGACTGAAGAGCCATTAAATCTAGCAGAGGAAACAGAAAGGTATGAAAAAGACAGTGATGATAAGGATGCTGATTTAGGCAGATTTGGCTATGAGTTATAAAGATTTAGAATAATGGCTCCAGTATAGTCTAGCAAGATTCTGTGCTTATAGTAAGTCCACTCCATTAAGAACCCTGACGATTATGCTTGTTTTCTTCCAAAATCAAAATGTATAAATTAAACTTGCCAACATCGATTTTAAATCTCTTATTCAACAGGGCTCATTCTACTCTTGATGATATTTTAGAAAGAATGCTTCATACAATTCCTGAAGATGAGGAGAACCAAGAACAAGCTCAGGTGCACACTCTTAGGTTAGCTGGTAATTTATACTTTGTTCTTAAATTTATCTTATGTTCTGTGCACAGACTTATGTGAGACATCTTAGAAAATGGACTGTCACTCTTTAGGCAGCAAAGTGTTGGGGAATTCCCCAGGAGGCATCAATCTGAACTCCTAGTCCTATACTGAGAGGGAAAATAATGTTTTGCTAAGATAATTTCGTGTAGGTGGAAAGCAAACATTTCCAGTAGGTTTGAAAGGTAGTGCATCATCTTTACAGAAATTAGAGATAATTTGCAAGAGTGGATTTTTTGAGCTAATAAGAAAGAAGAATATATATTAGGAGAACAGAATCACAAAAGCTCTTTAGAAAAGATTTTTAAAGAAGAATTTGAGAAGGCAATCATAGTCTGTCATGACAGTGTAGGAAGTAGCGAAGAAAACGACAGAAATCGTACAGTCAACACTTTTTAAGAAGTGCATGTCCCAAATACCCTTTTTTCCTCCTAGAACCAAAGATCAGAGCCTAATAGCTCTGAATGGTTCCATGCTATGCCGGTGAGTAGTCACAAGTCCTTCCTAAGGTATATCTTACTAGGGAACACAAAATAGCCTTCTGTTGGGCATCAGAATTTTTTTGAACGTAGAAGGCAAGCGTCATGATAACCAGGAGGATCTTACTGGTAGGGCATACGGATTCTTGCGATATATAAACAGCCATGTTCGTAAAGGGCTCAATCCAAAGCCACAGTCATAGTCAAACTATATTTACGTAATGCTGATACACAAGGAATCATTGGAGTCTGCTTACAGATGTAAAGCACTTCTGTAGTCTTGGTGTGTGTATTTGTGTGCCCATGTGAAGTTGCCAGTTGTAGGTCAGGGCAAAAATAAGGCATTTAATATCTCCAGAGGCTTCTGTTTTAGTGCTTTATATTCATTCTCCCTAAAAGAAAGTACAGTTAATGGGGATGTTGCACGAATTTCTGTCATTCAAGGGCTGCAAACGTGAATAATCCAGGAGATGGTGGAATGAAGAATGGAGTAAAGGAATGCAAAACAAAGGAAGAAAGCAGAGAGCCAGAAAGCTGTGCCAGGAGTCCTGAAGGTCCCGTTCATCTGTAAAGCTACTAGATGCTTTGCTGTGCAGTTACTCTTATTATATTGTTAGCACTGAACTTGTTGAGCTTGCACAGGGTAGGGGTCTTAATAGTTTTTGTTCTTTTCCCGGTTCCTTTGCCAGTTGGGTACTGATTCTTCCCTGTACTTTTAAAAGAGAAGAAGCTGCTCTGGACCAGAAACTGGTCAGGACGTATGGGAAGAATGAATTAGCATCTAAAATTCAAGAGTTAATATGAAAACGAAAAACTAGCTGGCATTTTACTCCTAGTGATCAACTCCTGAAAAAGTAGAAAGATTATTTCTTTCTGGCCAAAGTTTCCATTTTTGCATACCAGATGATCAGTGAGAAAATCTTTGGCCCATAGGTGAGCTGAGTTGTGGCAGAATACAAGAAATTGTATAAAAGGAGGGAATAAGATAACAGATGAACATTCCTGTGCTTCACCTGATTTTGAAAAACAAACCAACCAAAAAACCCTGTATTTCTGGTATAGCTCTACTTAATTCCAAACGTCCCTCAAACTGTCAAAGCTGGCTGGTATTCTGCAGCTCAAGTAAAAGGTTCCCATTATTATCAATACTTGTCGATTTAAAAACCGCTTTGTAAAAATATGTAAGAACTTGTGTTTTGTCTGGAAAGAAAGAAAGTTTAAGACAGCCTTTCATTTCCAGGGAGAGCATTTGATTTTTTCAGTGTTTAATATAAGAGGACTGGAAGCTAATCTTCAGTGTTGTGAGAGTTAAAAACTGCAGCAGTCAGCTTTACAATACAAGTGTTTAGCTTTCCAGATAGCCCCCCGAAGTTTGAAATGTTCCACATCACTAGTTACTTTCAGAATGGTTGAGGGTAGTTTTAAACCCAGAGATCTGAAAATAAAAGGATTTTGGTTGTTACTTGCACAGCATTAACAGATACAGCCCCATTTTCTGTCATACTTCTAGAGACTTAAGATCAGGCTTCAGCTTTTGAAAACAGACTATTTTCTTACCACAAAGAGGGTCATGGGTAATACAGCCTACAGCAACAGAATTGAGGCTGGTTTATGATTACAAATGCAACTTAATGGATTTAGTCAAGAGAACTGTAGTGTGTGATTCTGCGTGCTGTTAACGGGCAGACAAAACCAGAGCTTTCTCTTTGAAGTGTTGTGTGGCTGTACGTGTTCTTCTTGGTTCTGTGTTGAATTTATGTATTTTTGTAGACCCGCATCATGAGGATCAGAAATTCCACTTACGACGTCAGCTCTCTTGGCCCTCTCCGTTCAGGTGAGCTTCCTTGTGAGTTAAACTGGGCTTTTGGCAGAAATTAGAACATTTGTATGCTCTCTCTCGGTTTCTGTGCCCAGGAGGCAAAAGGGGCACTGCGAAATCCCGTTCTCTTCACATGTTGATATAAGAAGAAACCAACTGTGTAACTCTTCCTTTTTTTCCTTTTTTTTTTCTTTTCTTTTCCCTCCTACAGGGTGATCGTATTGGATCAGAGCAGCCCTCCTACATGAAAAGGGCTAGTGAATAAATTCTAATATATCACCTGCTTACTGCAACTTGTACAGTACACAGTCTGAACTGCAACCCTTTTTGGCCACACAAACAATTGTAATGCTCAGACTTCCTTTAACTGCAGCAGCAAATACAGAAAAGAATCGAATGCTTTACTCTGTACAGCAGTTCTTATTTTTATGCTATCATAGCATATCAAAGACAGTATCCATAATACTGCAAAACTAAATTGTTTTCTGAAGATATAACATCCTTGCAAGCCTGCTGCAGTGTTTTTCTCCCCTGTGTGTGCACACTTTCCTAAGCAAAAGAATTTCTTGCTCTATTGCATTATGCAGTCTTCAGTATTATGGACAAAATGATTGTAATTCTGTAGGCTGCTGTTACTGTTCAGGCTGTTGTTTATTTTACACTGCTGGAGTGTGGAGTACTGTGTTACAGCCCACATGGTGTGTGTTTTTTCCTTGCTCATTAAATTTAACAAGGTAATTTCTTGTTTTCTCTTTTCTTAGTGCTTTTGTAATGTGAAGTTGAACTGATTTGACTGATTAAGGGGATTAATTGCTGTGCAAAAAGTTAATGGGAAAACGCCAGTGTTATCCAGAGATTGCAAGTAGAGCAGTACGTTCACTGCCAGTATTGGACAAAAATATGATAAAAGCTGGTTAGCATTATTAAGATGCCTGTCTGCTTAATCAAGCCACACTTGGTAGGCTTATTCTGAAGAGATAACCCTGGATATAGTCGAGCTCTGGATCAGGCTTTGATGGGCACAGCAACTTCATATTTTTAACTGTTCTTGTGACTAATACTATTTGGGTACAGGAAGCTTAAAGATTGTCCTGGTACTTTTGAACCAGACATTGCGGTTTTTAAGCTGCCTTCATGCATTTAGGTGTACTATATTGTACTCTCATTGTTGTTCACATATGGAAATTCTGTCTATCTGTAACTATTAAATTATTTCATTTGGTTTAATAATATCAGTAAAAGTTTCCAAGATAACTGTGTTGCCATGTGTTTTTCTCTCTCTCTCTTTTTTTTTTTTTTAACTTGTTTTTAACTGTGTTTCCTGCTATTAGACTATGTATATGACTGGAGATGAGCTCCTCTAGTGAAGGTGCCGCAAACTCTGGCAGATTAGGGGCAGCTTTCTTCAGAAGATCTCGAGAAAAGATAAACATCCTTCATCCATACTCATAAAACACAATCTTCTTTAGTCATACCATTTTAGTGATAAAACAGGAGTGCCAGCAACAAGGGGGTTACAGTTTGAGTTTCTGTTAACTCAGCTTAACAGCAGTGTCAGTGCCTGAGAAACAGTGTTCACGTTTGTGCATTACACCGTTCTATCCAGAAAAAAAGTTTAGTGTTTTCTAGCCTGGGCTCATGACTTGGGCTTGTCTGCCGGTATACTGTTCCTGGGAGTACAAGTTCTGTACCCTTGCCTCAGGAAGAGGAACCGAGTACTCTGATGAGAGCTGCTGCTACAAAATCCTGCTTTACAGTGGCAAGGCACTACGAAAAACATTGTGTTATGTTGCAGCTTGTTGCAAGTTTCAGAACGGCCAGTAAAGACAAACGCACGCAAAAGGTAAATCACAAATTTGTTGTGTGATTCTGTGTTCGGTGGCTTGTAACTCGTAAATGACAAAATAGGTGAAGGTCGTTACTTTTCACTTTAACAAAACCCCATGAACATTGCCCTCTATCATAGACTCATCGAGTTAAATAAAGAGTTAATTAAACTTGTTGGACTGCAGCAATGTGGTGGAGTGGAGGAAGCACACATACTTTAGCATGCACATAATTATATGCCACTCTGCACGTGTTGCAAACCAATCTTTTTAGCTTCTTGGATGTCTTTCTCTATTTTATCTATCAAACCAAATGGTGAGTGGACTGAACCATTTTCCCCATCTTTTTTTAATCTTCACGTGGAGAGGTTTTGCATCTGTTGGTAGAGAGCTGTTGTAGTAGTCCTATAGCCTGCCTGCTTGTCCTTATCCAGGTCAGAACACCGCAATTAGATATTTCAGTTGTTCAGCTGCTTGTACGTTTCCAGAATTGAGTTTAGCATGAATGCAAATCATCCTGATAACACAGGTGACGAAGCAGGTGACGAACAGGGCCACGACGTAGCTGCTGTTGTTGCTGCCACCGGTGTACCAGTTGGGCCCGCAAGAGGTTCTCAGCCCTGGGACAGACAGGTTTTGGAACAAGCCCCAGATGCCCCTGAATTAAGCTAAGGTTTCAGTAATAGACTCCAAAATAGCAAATAGTGCTGCCAGCCTCCAGCGATCCATCGATGTCTCTCAGCCATCGGATTTGGAGCATATGTGCGAGAGAGTCGCGGAGGCATCTCGTGAAGCAGCTAACTTTCAAAGAACAACAGCGGAGACGGAATTAAGTGACTGAGAAAGCAGGACGCGTTGGCATTTTAAATTCCAGACTAGATACTCTCCAAACATGCCTGAAAATAGCCAGTGCGGAGGGGAGGGCCCCCACGCGCTGCGCCGCGCCGCCCGGCTCTCCCTCACCTTCCGGCACGTAGCTGCTCCAGCCCAGGAGCGGCGGGGTGGTCCAGAGCAGCGCCCAGCCCCAGGCAAGCGCGCAGCCTGTCGCGGCGTGCCGGCGCTGCAGCCGGAAGGCGCCCAGGGGCCTGCAGATCAGGACGTACCGCGGAAGGGAAGACCTTCCGCAGCGTTTCGGAGGCACGGGGCAGTGACACGCACCAATGTGTCGGCACAAAGTGCTTCGTGCCCTGGAAGTGATGCTTCCTGAGGTGTCTGAATCTTGCTCCCCTCCCTACGGAGAGCAGGACAGAGCCTCAAGTGACCCAGGGCATCGATCCCCCGGCGAGCAACCACCCGCTCTGCCATTCCCCACTCCAAAGAACAGCTGAATGACACAAGTTTTGCATCCTGAACGGAAGGGTTGTCTTGACCGTATGCTTGCAGGAGCCCTGGCTAGCTGCTAATTGTCACGGCCTTCAGCAAAGCTCTTCAGGGGCTGCCGCGTGCTGAGCAAATTGCATCGGCCAAAGACAGAGAAAGGCCCTAAGGTTGGTTTCTGGAGCCAACGCTGCCTACCTGTTAGGGAGACCATGAAGCCTTCCAGCTCGCACATCCTCTCGCCAAACACGAAGAAGCCGTGGATGTTGTTGGAGAGGCTGACGGAGAGCGTCACCAGCAGGTCCGCCACCGCAGGTTCACCAGCATGTAGTTCAGGGGGGACCTGAGATTCTCGTGGTTGATGGACGTCACGACGACCAGACCATTCACGACGGAGGCAGAGACCACCACGAAGCCCATGAGGACGGCCACGGCCGTGTACATGCTTCGGGGGGCCTGGTGGGGCCACTGGGGGCTGTCGAAAGGCCCCGGCGTCCCGTTGCTCGGGGGCGCCTCGGAGCGGTTGAAGGTCTCCATCGGCACCTTCTGGAGCACCGGTGCCAGCAGAAGCGCAGCGGCCTCCCCCAGAGACAACCCTCTTTATAAAGCGGGAGGGCTGGATGCGCCCCCAGAGCAGCTTTGTATTCAAACACCTTAAGCTTTTTTGTTTTAATCTGAAGGGTTTCTCCCCCTCAGGTTTATAAGCAGCTCTGCACTCCAAAGGGATAAAGAGTGACTTAAAAAAAAAAAAATCTGATGACTTCATGCTGCATCATCTAATTGAGTAAATAGATTTTTTTTTGTTTTTTTCTTAAGCTTTTGCTTTCCGGCTGCCTCCCCCTTGCCGTGGCCCAGCTGACGGCCGCAGGGCC